AAAAACCCGACTCGACGAATCGCGACTGGCGGAGATCAGTCATGTCGATCGCGTAAATGTGTCTTGGGAGCACAGAAAATCGGCGATCTCGCGAGAAATGAGTACATACCCATGTACCCCATTTCACGTCCGATAGCTGCTCGAACACTCATGTTTCGCGAGTTTCCATCGCTTCTTGAGATCCGAGATATCTTCCGGTTGAAATCCAGATTTCGAGTTCGTCCGATGAATCGATGTCAGATGACTTGCGGGGCAGCCGAGAGTCGAAGGGATCAAAGAGACAGCATGGAGCTCTCTTGCGGCTGCGGATATCAGTTTATTCATTTATTCATAAATTCAATTCCCTAAAGTTAGAGTCGGTATGGAATAGGATGCATGTTTTCGAGTTTCGCCGCAGCTTCTTCTCTCAATTTATCTTCTCCTTGCTCGGAGAGAGTCGGTTTCTTCCGCGGTGATTGGAGAGCCAACGAATCCAGAGCTGTTGTCGGAGCTTCGAATAATAGGACCAGAACCCAAGCCCCCAGGACGTTGAACGTCGCATCAGCGACGAATTCGCGGAGCTGTAAAGGGATCGGGAGGCCTTATAGAAGTTCTCGATCATACGACGCCATGCGAGTGCGGCGATTCGCTCGATTGTACGAGGCGGGCGTGGCGCAGATTCAGCGAGAATATTCAGGCATCTCGGCCATCATTCACCACGCTGATGGCATGGAGCGTTAATCTGATCGTAGTCAGTGCCAAGGAGCAGTAGTCGGAGGTTCTCTCGATCTTTACCCTTCCAGGAGATTGATCTATTGTGAGGGCGACTCTCCGGTGCTCCACAGATTCTTCGCCGAAACCCTGACGCCTCCTTTCAACTCTATCCCAGGGAGTCTCTACAGCCCGTTCGAAGCTCGAGCTCTCGTCGCTCGAGCGGGTGCAGAGCTTCGCTCTCGGATCCCCTCCTTTTATCTTCGGAATGGAGACAATCATTGGAATAGAGACTGGAATTCCGTTATTAACTCACATGCTGGTAATGAGAGGCGGAATACGGATTCCGTGTGGAGAACATGGAAAGCCACAGGGCCGGCCACTGCATCAGGTAAAAGCTCAAGGATAATCGACTGAGGACGATGAAATTCGGACGGCTCAGAAACCAGCGGATTAAGCCTAGAAGGATGAGAGTTCACAGAATTATGTTTTGAAATTGGATTAGATAATCCCCCATTACCATCGGGGCGGGGACCGGATAGTTCAGCTTCTCTCGAGCCCTAGGATCTCCCGATATTGACTCGACATCCCACTGACGTCCCCATATTTGAAACATCAAAAGCAACTCACGAGCTCTCCCGCATGAGCACATGTAGATCAACCAGATAAGGCTCGCAGCCCACAACGGTCTGAATATAGCTGCGTATAGTACCGACTCCGATACGGAGGCGTAACCCCGATCATTCCAGATGCAGGACGCTAAGAAGGCAAGCGTCCTCGATTATTATTTATGAAACAGCCTCCCGTTCACGGGGTCTGAGAATTGTCCGAAGATTCATTATCCGTCACGAGGAACCTACGGTACATTTTTTCTCAGCCCGTCGAGATCTTGAATACATAGGGCCACTCGACACTCAACCTGGTCGCATTCATGAATATCGACATCACTCACCCATTCCGAAAGCGATTATGACAGCACTGTATAAGATCCAACCGGCTCTGTACACAGTTTTCCCGAGATCGATCTCTCTATATTTGTCGATGAGATATCCACCGAGGACACCGACGGCTGCCGGGCTCAGGTGGGCGAGGCTATGGTTGTGCAGGTGGGATAGCAATTGCAATGACTGAAGGAAACTCATCGCGTTACTTGCCGAACACAAGCGAGAGGATTCCGATCTTGATGAGGGTTTGAAACACACACACTTCCATGTTTTTCGAACTGGTGCTTACCGCTATTGCTTGGTTCGGTAGCAGCAAAAATATCGGAGACGCGCCATAGTAATACGTCAGACTCGCAGCGTACACCATCGAGCCCCCGACAAGATATAGAAGGATTCGGATGCCCTTGCCTGGCTCCCGGATTAGCAAACAGATGGGTAGAATGAGTATGCAAACAATCTGCATATCTGCTGCGGTGTACCTGGGACGAGGTGGAGCGGAATTATCATGCGAGTTCTTTTTTCAGGATCTCGGCTTTCATTACGATCGGCTCTCACGTACCACTGGTTCTCGACGCAGATGTCTTGAATTGTCCACAAATTGTTTATGAAAATGGGATACGACCACCATCTCGCATTACAAAAGTCCTCAAGGTACGGATACATATAGTCGATGCCTGGTCCCGAAGTAATGAGAGGCAGAACATAGAATACGGCCATGGCTCCCATGCCCGTAACAATGTACCTGACTGCACGACGCAGGATCACTTTCAACGCGAGCTTCAATGCAGGCATCTGGAGGAGGGAGGTCGTTGAGTTCCCCACAACTGCTCGCAATCCGTTTACGTACATTGGATATATTTCGCCCGGAAAATACTTGCATTATTTCGCTTCCGCTCTTGGGTGACAAGCCTGTACAATGAAAAGCCGAGAAGTGTGAAGAATGTCTCCAAGGCCAATACGAACTGATTCAATATCACGCCGGATGGGGATTTGAACATCCAGAGGAGGGTCAGGATGCCATCTGGAAAGCGAGGGGAGCAGTGAGTTTCTGAGGCAGCTTTTATTAGAAGGAGACCGAGAGAAGCGTTCGATGTGACCTACCCACATTGCCCCAGTCTTTCAGGCAAACATGGGCGTAGAGAATCCACAGTGCGCTCAGGGCTCGAATCCCGTGCAAACAATCTAATCTCCTCGATTCGGGCGTCAGGGTGGTATTGGTGAACCTCAGGTAGTTTGCGCGGGCCGAAAAACATCGAGCGACTCGAACGAGACCTTGAGGACCGAATTAGCCATTCTTAGATCGGGAATCGGATTACTCGGATTCGGAGGCGAGGGAGAGGATAAGATGGCATCAGAAAATACAGTTCCGCTGAATGAATTGTCTGCCCGATTTTTCATCCGACGATGTCATATTGAAGGACGGTCGGGAGAATGATTTCGAGCTAGGAGGACCTTTGCTCAGTATCTCAGACCGCTAGATGCTATCTGACCCGTTGATCGCATTATCAATGAGCACTGATGTTCTCGCTCTACGATACCTGCCTCGTGTATCGTTGCCGCAGAAAATGTCAACCACGGTGCCCAGTATTAGCAGGCCAGTCAAGATTCCGATTACGACTCTGCAATGGAAGGGAGTGGGCATTCTTCAGAAAATCCATGATTCCTTCCCAGGATTCGCTAAGAGTATCGACACCTATAGCACCGACTTCCCTACTCAGGTTATATCGATGACGAACAAAGATCGCATTCATTCCTGTCGCCGATCCCTCTCTACTCGACTCTCATATGATATATCGATTTGGGGCACGATGTTCCCCAATCAGGTCACAAGTTAGGAGAGTATTTGGAATGAGGATTCCGGAGCTACCCACCCACATATTACGGTGCCGGTGCTCGCTGGTCGTTCTTTGATTTGATCCCTGCATCCTAGAACATCCGCGCTAATTCCGTATTTCCCGACGACTGGAAGCAAGAATATCGGGCGTAGTTGTGAGCGAGACCTGGGATTATTCTTGATTAAGCTCACTAAGGGAATGACTGGCTTTCCTATGCGGCATCGAGTCTCCATCTAAGAGAATAAGAGTCGGGACTCACATTTCTTTGCTAGATGAGAAATGATAGAGGAATCGCAAGTTGATGGCAGACATATTCCCACGCGGTATCCAATAGGAGATCTCTCTACGAGGTCCAGGACATAAGACACATTCCCTCCGCCGAAGAGTCCCTTGGGGCAAATAATTTTCTCGCTTTACGAATTTTCTCCTTCGTATAGGGTTTCCGCCAGTCTCCAGCTTTCCCCGCCCCAACCGGCATCGTCAGGCGTCTCGACGGAGCAAGTTGGAGAGATTCGAATCATACGGAAGAGAGCGTATTGCTTTCCGGCTATCGGCAAACAGAAAGCGTCTCGTGTTCGTTCATTTCGGTATGGATCGGAATCAGGCACTAATCGAACATACGACGGCCCGAGTCAACTCGGAGGATAGACGGAAGGCTTCCGGAAAGAGCGGATCGAGCTGATTCGCATCGAGGAAGTCGTCCTGTGTCTTCGACTCAGTGGCGCACCGAGCCCATTCGGCGACTAGTACGGAAATGCGACCCCTCTGTCTCGAAGCTTTCCTCTTCAGAGACTTCACCACTTGGACACGACGGGGGTAATCCGCGCCGTGAGAAAGAGAGAGAGCGTATTCCCCACGGAGGACCTGCACGGTATTCGAGCGTTCCGAAGCAGAAGACTCGGGCGGGGCTGACTGGCTTCGAGAGGATTCCCGTGAGCGCCTCCTTGGGGTTGGCGCCGAAGGCACGTGCCCTGGTTCCCCCGATCTCTCTCCCACCAGACATGCCACTGCCTCGACTCTTCGGTAATCCTGAGAAAATTTTCTCCATCTCCGACTAAGATCTAGGAAATCCACGGAAGCTCTCCTCTGACCTGTCTTGGAGCAAAGTTGGCAGCGCAGGGCCGGACCTTATCAGAGAGAGGAGAGCTCCCCGCCGAGAACAATTCTTGAGTCATCGCTGTAGACTGCAACTCCAGCCTTCCGTAAAATCGGAATAGTTCGATTCGAGAAGCGTCAACACTTGCCAAAAATGAGGATAGTTCGGAGGCTCGCGGGAGGCTTCACTGAAGATTCTGTTATGGGACCGAATCCAGGGAGGAAGCGTGTTTCCGCGCCTCCTCTGTCGAACTGTTCCGAGGGTCAGTTCACACCTCGAGCGTGTTTTCCAACCGAGAACTCGATACTGCTTTCATCTTGAGAGGCCCCGCTCCGTGATCATCTGATCCGTAACAAGCGTACGAATTATGCACATATACTGTTTGCGGAAAAAGGCTTCCCATCGGACCCAGGACGCCGGCACGTGACTCGGCCGTCGCGGAGCATGACCTCACTCCATGGACGGGATCTAATTGAACGAGGAAGCAATAGTCGGTCTTCCCCGGAAAGCTCGGAGAGGCAGAATTTTCAACTAGGCTCACCCAAATTCTCGGGTCCTGCTGGATGAAGCTGGGGAGAGTCCTGTGTAAGAGCGGTTGTCGTCTCATCAGGATTGAAGCTGTGCAGTATTGACCTGCGAAGGCGACCTGCGAGGAAAATACCAATAATAATGATTTTAGCCGAGCTCAGGCGAGTCATAGAGAGCCGACATCCGCATGCTATAATTTCGTGTCGATGTCGATAGACAGCGGGGTTCTGGAGCATCGATCATAAATCTGTGCTACTTGTCAGAGAATGAACAGCATTAAACGGCACGGAAACGAGGTGTGACTGGAGGCAGATAGGCACCTGTGGACTGTTAGGGGCCTCTTGAGAGAGTCTACATGAGCGGTCACCACGGGAAGATTGACCAGCCGATTGATGTCGCGATAATTTCACGGGGGAATACGGGACTGCTTCTCTACGGCGTACGGATGCCATAGATGCAGGAAGATTCCACTTCTGTCCGGCGCCAACGACTCAGAGCTCTTCGAGAGGTTTCTCAAATCGAAATCCTCAGCATCAGCGAGAAAGTGCTGCCATAATAGCTCTGGATATAATATACCGACTTATCGGTGAAAGACCCCAGGTTTGCCCGAATTTCCCCTAGTATCCAAGAAAGAAGCGTCGGGGGCACTGATGCCCGGCGGAGTAGAGGAAGGGGGGGGGGGAAATCGTACCGTCATGAGGGGACGATGCATGATAACTTCACATGGTCCCTGATATGAAGATCCCATAGCAGACTAAATGAGGAAATATTTTCGCGGTGTTCGCTGTTATCTATTTTCCCACCTTCTTTGGATCATTTTTCTCGGGTGCTCGAATCCGTAGACACTGGTCGTAGCTGCCCAATGAAGCGCCACGGCCATCGAGCATGCCGGGTAGGATACCGCCAGAAGAGTCCAAGACTGCGAAAAGGCAAAGTTTTCTGTAAAATCTCTTACCCCGAGTTTCGGGAGGAACCGTGGAGAATCCTCGAGAATCTTTCGCTCTAATTACATCGAGCAAGACGAAGAAGGATGCTTTGAACCAATGGCTTTGTTTTCCACGAAATCGTTTCTTTCTGCGTCGCGGCACCGCGAATCGGGGAATGAGTCATGCTAATCCCGACACTCACATCTCATTGCCCATACTTTTCCGTCGTTCAGCCCTGAGGCGATCCTTAGAAAACTCTGAAGACACTCTTGCGGAATCTCGTCATCGTAGAGAATCTCCTGGGCGTATGGAAGGATCTGTCTCCGCATCTGCTTAGTCAAGTTGGCAAGGACAGGCTCCAGATCTTCATTCCATGTCGAATAATCAATTTCCTGGCGCAGTATGTCGAAAATAGATCGGGAGCAGCCGGCGTACTTTGCCCATAGCGAGACCAGCACTATTGATTTGAGCAACAGCATCTAACTGATCCGTGGGCGCGGGATTATCCGACGCCGTTGTTGTCGAATGGTCCGAGCTCCGAACAGGGTCGGGGGATCGGATGCTCGGGAATGGGATCCTCCCGTGCGTTCACAAAGATTACCTAGCACGTTGCACACGGAACAAAATCACGGCGGTGATCTCAGGGCGGGATTGGAGCGACTCCGAAAATTCCTCCACAACCTCCCTTACTTTATACCACTCTTTGATTCTGATTTCCTCAAGCTGATGTCTCGCTGTCCTTCAATGATGTTCCCTCACCGGGGGGAGAGTACATTCCGTGATACCTTTTCAACTTGGGAGGTTCTCCGTCACTCCTTGAGGAGGCGGACGCAAGAGCGATATCCTTCTTTCCCTTCCCCCCCAATGGAAAGAGGGGTTCCGGACCTCCGGTACACCCCATTGCGCCGCGACCATTCCACCGTGACCTCATTCCGCGAATCATAACAATGAATGAGGAGTAAATGTTTGCTGCGAACGACGCACAGTGGCGCCAAAGCCACTTTCAGGTGGACAAAATCAAAGATACCAGGATCGACTCCGGAACAGGCGGGAAAGACGCGCGAGTGGTCGGCGTTCAGGGAGCCATAGGCATGAGCGTCAACTGAGCACTCACTGATTAATGCGCGGCTATCGAAGTCATCTCCCAATCAGTGGTATCATACGGAATTTCTTTTCCCATCTGCTACTTTCGCGAAATGAATGGCTCTAACCGACTCCGATTAGCGGTATCATTGCTTTGACTTCAAGTTCCGTCCGAGTTTCAAGTTTCCAGGCCATTCAGACCCATTCGCTACTCTCTCATGTCCCCGAATCGGAAAATCTTTATAATGCATCGAAACCATCAAAATTTGTGGATATTGACGAGGGCGGGGAAGCTTGTATTCCACATTATTCCACCCGAATCTCTCCGCCAAGGAAGCCTCAGGTCCGCTCATATTTATAAAAAAATTCAGAGGTAGCAGCAGAGCCACTACCGTGTAGAGGACGTGATACGTCTTCGGAATGGCCATTCGTAAGACTCGAGCATCATCATTATCCCTTTAAACTCAGCTCGTGGTTTTAGGTCTCATTATCACTGGTGAAGTCGAACTCTTCACCGAAGTTGGGAAAATATCTTCTTCTGAGTGGAAAATGTCTTCTTCTGAGTGGAAAATATCTTCTTCTGAGTTTTGAAAGAGGTGGATGCGGAATTGCGTTGCTAGCCATTGGGCCGTTACGCGCGCTCCGGAAATTTGAAATCGCGCTCTCCCAGGAGCAGCCGTGATCACGGGCGAATAGGGCGCATAGGGTGTCATTCTTGCCTCCAGGAGTTGATCTGTCCGTGTGGGAATTCCGTAGGAAGTATATGAAATTGATGTGCCGTAAATTTGCTATCTAAAGACACCAACCGGGTGTCGATCGGTGTAGGAGGCACGGAGCTGCAGGGCGTAGAAAATGGACAAGTTTCATCACACATTCGGTGAAATACTAGGCCAACCTTTCTAAAGACGTTTCACGTCAAGAATTGAGACCCGGTTCGACCCGGTTACCGAATATTTCATTCTTTGTTCAAAACGCGGGAATCCGAGGGAATCTGCGGAAATCCCAGCATATCCATCGATTAATTTATTTTTTTCGGGTGCGGTGTACTTCTCCCGAGATTCTGGAAGGTCATCCTGGGCTCATCAGCCGCTCCCTCTGATGCTCCGAGCGCAGATCTATACATTTCACGCCAGTCGGGATGCTCACGGAAGAGTCCCAAGAATCGCGAAACAAAGATTGTCGACCTTTTCGACTTCATAATACCCGGAAGAACTCGCGAGAAAACTCGAATTACGATCTCTTCTGTCTGTTGATGATTTCGTCGGATCCGTTGGTCGCCAACTTTCGCCAACCACCGAAACGTAAATCAAAGAGTATCGACCCACAAGTTCTATCCTTGCTCAAATGTAGCTTCGTCACTGAGGAAGATACATCAATGGAAGTTGAGAATCCCTCAGGTTCAGAGGATCCTGAGATCCCGATGGATTGCGACAACCACGGAGATCCGAATTCACCGCTCCCATCCGGATCTTCCGGGGAAAGTTCCAGTGATTGCGACCTCTAATATCCAGAAAAGTGCTCGCGAGAATACCATCGTTCACTCATCAGTGTCAGTGTCTTGTATACCCTGATTTCTGCCGATTCCATTTAGCGAATAGGCTATTAAAGTTTTTCTCAAGCTTCTCCTTCTCTTCTGAGTCACTTATGATCGGGAAATCTCATAAAATAATTTTGTCCACCTAAAAGTGGCTTTGGCGCCACTGTGCGACGGGTGATATCAATTCTGCTCCTACAACATGGAGAGACCGTTGACATATGGAGCGTCATCGAGCCTCGCGGCGAAGTGCGCATGCCATTTTATACGGCGACAACAAACACTCAAACCAAAGTCTGACATATCAAATCGATGCCGATATCGCTGAGCAATTCCATCCCCTTCGATCTCGAGAAGGCGAAATGACTACAATCGTCAAATCTTCGCGCGGGAAGGACAAATTTTACCATGAAGTGTAGGGCACTCGTATATTTTCGATAGGTTGCCGCCTGAAAACCCTCCTCCATCTTCCAGTCTGACCCGTACAGATCATGCAGTCAAGCATGGAGGATGCGTGACACCTATTCTGGAAAGTGCCAGTCTTGATAGCTGCATGATAGCCTCGCCCAATGCCCTACCGTCTTGATCGAGGGATCACGTTCCCCGATCCGATGCTCCAACAATGATCCTGCATTGGCTTCACCTACGATATGTTCGCGTGGGCGTGAACAAAACGGGCCTCCCGTGCATTCTGGAGCCTGTCGGTCGGGGCACGTGTTCGAGTTCGAGTCAAGCGACGTAGTTCCCCCGTCGACTCCCTCGCGATCTTTTCTGAGTCTTCAACCCCCTCCGGCAGCAAGAATTCGTAGTTTCAGTCGGACTGGGATCTAATTGCCGCGCTTGCCGAGATGGGAAAACCGGGAGCACTCAGCTCATCATAGCGGAGCACATTCACTCATCATAAACTATCATGGTTCCTAGCGACCGAGGGTCTCGCCGCGAAACGGTACATTCCGTGATACCTTCCAGGTCCTGCGGCGAAAGCTTTCACGGTAAAAGTGGTCGCGGCGAAACGGCCGCGGCGTAATGAGGCGCTCCGATGCCGGACCCTACGACTCGGATCCGTTATATTGTGGGCGAGGTTTTCCGATCCGTCTGTTATATAATCTGAATGAGACCTTCGTTTTCGATTTCCTCTGGCTGCGAACCCCATCATGAGCTTACGTAGCCCATCATGTATAGGTACAATTGTCCGGCGAATTATCTATAAAACCAGGGATTTGACATCGAATCCACGATTGGACTATACTTTCATGGGAAGCTCAGTAGGACGCCATTTATTCAAGGTTCCGCCTTCCTTCACTGATCCTAGTCCTCTGCCGAAGTTTCCAGTGGCGGATCCAGGGAGGGGGCCAGGGGGCCATGGCCTCCCCCAAGAATCTTCGATCCCTATACAAAAGCATGGGCCGCGAGGTGGCGCGTCATCATTTTCGGCTCTTCCCCCCCTGAAAATATGACTTGGCCCCCCCCAAGAAAAAAAGCTGGATCCGCTCCTGGAAGTTTCAACTATACCTCTTGGGAATAATTTCTTTCTCTTCTTTGGAAAGAATTCCGAGATGCTGACGGGCAGTGGCGGATCCAGGGAGGGGGCGGTGGGGCGTTCGCCCCCCCGTAACTTTTTCCTCTGCACTTGTCACTGATCAAGGTTCGAGGTCAAAAACCGCTGACGATTTCCTCCCTTCGTATGTGATACT